TAAAACATGACAGAACAATGCTCAGACCAAAGGGGAAGGAGAGGGCCCACCTTTTGGAACACTTCCCCTTAAGTATGAAAATCCTGGGAAGAGGCAAGATTTAACTAACATTGAGACAGGCCTGGGGATGGTGAGGCTGTAGATTTTAAACACACAATAATATTAAGACTGAAGAGGGGGCTGAAAAGTCATACTCCATCTGTCACTGAAGCAAGCTGAAATTAACAATGAATCCAAGCTTCCCTCATGGAACCAAGTTACCAGATGTCCTTCCTTTTAAGGGAGTGCCTCTTTTCATCAGACACATGAAAGCTGTACAGAGCCATAATGGGTGCCTCCCTCTTTTCAAAACCTATCCGGCCAGGGTTTAAAGTTTTGATAAGGGTGTGCCAGACCCATGAAAGAGGAGTGCATGTGTCTGCTGCACAGGAGGACTAAATGTAGAGACAGGCAAACCTCTGTGCTGTTTTCTTTCCATACACTCAGAAACTGTCTGTGTAGGAGGCTTCCACGTCTCTGCTTCTCTCTCCCCCTTCCCTCACCTACCCACACAACACAGCACATGATTCAAAACTGACATTCTCCCTATCTCGGATTGTGGGCTCATTTGTCATAAGACTGCTTTACTGACATCTCCTGCTGGGCATATGGATCCTATTCTCATCTTTTGCGGAGGTAAAGGGTGAAATAGCTGCCTTAGAATGGAAGGGCCACAGGAAAGTCCTAAAGGTAAAGGTTTTCCCCTGACATTAAGTCTAGTGATGTCCGATTCTGGGGGGTGGTGCTCATCTCCATTTCTAAGCCAAAGAGCCAGCGTTGTCCGTAGACGCCTACAAGGTCATGTGGCCAGCATGTCTGCATGGAGCGCTGTTACCTTCCCGCCGGAGCGGTACCTATTGATCTACTCACATTTGCATGTTTTCGCACAGCTAGGTTGGCAGAAGCTGGGGCTAACAGCGGGAGCTCACCTCGCTCCCCAGACTCAAACCGCCAACTTTTTGGTCAGCAAGTTGAGCAGCTCAGTGGTTTAACCCGCTGCACCATCAGGGCTCCATAGGAAAGCCGTAGAGAGACCATAACCGTCTCAAGTTGGCTTTAATATTTCACAACAAGGAGCAAACTTCAAATCAAATCAAATCCTTTAAAGATGAAAACGTACATGGAGATAACATCCCAGCACACAGTCCCAACTCTTTCACCAACAGGCAAGGGTCCATAGCTCAGTCTTGACAATGTTCGGTCCAAGTAGTAAAGGGAAGTGAAAGAAAGTGGAAGGAGGAAGCTTGGTTCCACTGATCCTGGCAGCCACATTTCCCGCCCCAAGACATTATTATGCCTTCATATATCAAGTGAAGCTTTGGGAGTAATGCGGAATTCAAAGCAACCGGGGGGGGGGGGGGGCATAATGTAGTTAAGCCTTTTTCCTAATTCCCAAATCCTAATTTGTAAAGCAATGGGGATGAAAGGGAAGATAATTTACCTTTCTTACCCTCCAAAAGAAGGTAAAGATGAGGGGCACTCTGCTGGGGAGATTGTGGATGTAATTTGGGGTTTTAAATGCAATTTTAATTGTATTTATAGCCACACACTATTTTTTAAATGCATTTGCTTTGTTTTACAGTGTAATTAGATTGTGTGCTTGTTAGACACCTTGAGTCCGCACAAGGAGAAAGGCAGGGTATACATAAAGTTAATATAATGATAACAACAACAACAAATACTAGCAAGGTAAAAGCAGCATATGTTTCACTTGCTTCAGCTGCTGTCAGGCCAAGCCATTCAATCCCCGTGTATGTTTGCCCGCAATTAAGCTATGCTAAAGACACAGGGATTTACTTCTGAGTCTATTCATGATGACTTAAGACGAAATACTGAAATACTCGAGGTGACACTGTTGGAGGAACCTGAGGGTACATCTCCATGGTAGTCAATGCTACTTGGCCCCACTTTAACTGTGATGGCTGCGTGTGATGGATTGATGGGAGCTGTAGTTTTGCTAAGCCTCGAACCTCCTTTGCCCAAGAATCCTGGTGCCTCACCAAACTACAAACCCCATGATTCCATAGCGTGGAGCCATGGCAGCAGTGTCGAACTGCATTAATATTACAGTGGAGATGCAGCCATAATCTTGGGGATCCAATGTACGGTTGTAAACCTGAATCCTGTACACACATATACATAATAACATATACATATTATATTTGTCCCTCAACTCTGGAACTCCCTGCCCAGGGGAGCCAGAATGGCCCCATTCTCCCTCCTATCCTTCAGGCAGCAGATTAAAACTTTTTTATTCAGGCAGGCTTTTAAATAAGGTTTTTAAGATCGTCAGGGGATGCTGTGATTTTATTTGCTTTTATAGTTTTAACCTGAATTGTTTTCAGATTAATGACGTTTAATACTGTTTTAATATTTGTATATTTAAGTTGTATTGTAATGCTTTGAGTTATGAGGTGCTTTGAATCTCCACATGGAGAGAAAAAGTTGGATGTAAATAAGAGTAACATATAAAATTCAGATTTACTTACAAGGACTACAACTGTGCATTGGATCCTCGAAATTAATATGTGTATGAGTGTGTGTGTGTGTGTGTGTGTATACACACACACACACACACACACAGACACACTTCTTACCTGCCTCTCCTCATGGCTCAACGTGAGTTACAAAAAATTATAATACACACACTAAAATGTACCTATGCAATTTATCCATCAGCCCTATCCTCACAATTGTTTTCTGCACCAGTCCGCCCACCCATGTCCAGAAACTGATTGTTACCGCAGAGCTCATTCGTTGTTGGTATGATGTTTGCTTTTATTTTTTTATAATGCTGTTGTTTTATTTTGTGTTATATATTTTAATGTGTTATATTTTAACCATGCTGGTTTTGGGCTTGTCCGCATGTAAGCTGCCTCGAGTCCCTTTGGGAGGCAGGGTACAAGAATAAAGTTATTATTATCATATTATTACCTCCATAAAATTGCATACCAAGACGTACCTCTATGAAATACATATTAGAACAGACAAAATAGAGATTAAACAAATGACATGCATTAAAATTCATGTTAATGTTTAAAGACTGTCTGGGTAGGCCTGCCAGAAGAGACAGGTCTTCACTTGTGTCTTAAATTCCGACAGCTGATTTAGCTGTGGGAGCTCTACCAGCAGGTCATTCCACAACCTTGGGGCGGCCAATAAAAAGGTGTTCCTCTGGGTGGCGGTTGCCAATTGAGTTCTGGCTGGTTGGAACAAATGCCCCCTCCCCCCAGAAGACCAAAGTGTGCAGGGCAGATTATCCGGGAGGTGATCATTTAGGTAACCTGGACCCAAACCATGCAGGGCTTTAAAGGTCAAAACTATCACCTTGCACTTTGCCCAGAAACTAATTGGCAGCCAGTAGATAGGTGTAATATGTGTATGTGTGTGTGTGTGTGTATATACACACACACACACACACACACATACATATATACACACACACATATACATACAGAATTCGGATTTACTTACAAGGGCTACAACTGTGCATTGGATCCTCCATATACATACATACACACACACACACACACATATATACACACACACATATACATACAGAATTCGGATTTACTTACAAGGGCTACAACTGTGCATTGGATCCTCCATATACATACATACACACACATACACACACACACACACACACACACACACACATATATATATATATATATACTCCAAACATAATAAAAAGAACAAACGCACATACTGCAACAACACCAACATTAGCAGCAGCAAACAACAACAATTATGTCAACAACAAGACGACAGCAGGGAAGGGAGCCAGTTCTTGGATGCTTTCCGAGTGCACAGGGTGCAACGGGATGGGCGGTAAAGTCCAACTGGGACATCATACAACAGAAACAACATGATGAGTTCTTGGCATTGGTTTGGAGCCAATATGCATATGTAATATATCAGCCCATCCCCCCTCCTGACCTTCAGGAAAAGCCTAAAGACGTGCATGTGGGACCAAGTGTTTGGTTAGTAATCTACCAGTGCAATAAGAGAATATGGATTAGAGTGCAATGACAACCTGGAGTGGCCTCGGACTATGATATTGGATTATGTGATTTTAAATAAGTGGTTTTAAGGTTTCGTAAGTTTTTAATTATTGTTTTAATGTATATGTTTATTTTACTATCTCTGTCCATATAGCATCGAATTGCTGTCTATATATGAGTGCTCTAAGGGGTGAGATGAGTGGGGTATAAATATGGTGTGATACACACACATACAGAATTTGGATTTACTTATAAGGACTACAACTGTGCCTTGGATCCCTAAGATTTATGTATGATTTCTATTTGTATCTCCAAACTGTTCAGCAGAATAAACCCCAGTGAGTCTGAAGTTTTCCCGAACTGGATTCTGGTTTTTGTTTGTTTGTTTGTTTGTTTTTAGTAAGACACCTTGTTCTTCTAACAAGGACACAGTAAACTTTTGGCTGAGAAACCCCAAAACATATTAAATATGGTTTTTTTTTTTAGTTTTTGAGATCGCTCATCTTTCCCTTCCAAACTTTGCTCCAGCAAACCCTGCTTGGGCTTCTGGGCGACGAAACCAGCAGTGGCAGTCTTCCTCAATCAAAAATGCCCCAAACTCTGAAGGCGAGGCGATCATTACTATTATTACGCGATAAATTAATCCAAGAAGAACTACCAAGAGTTCCGATCTTAGTTGCAGCCCTAACTCCACTGAAGTCGCTGAAGTGAAGGTGGCTTCTGAGAAATGTCAAGATAAATTGGACTCCAAGAGAGGATTAAAGCGAGACTCAACGTCAATGGAATGGTGAACAATAGGGAAGAAGGTGGGGAGGAGGAAAGCCTCTCGGAAAGGACGGGTTTCCCAGAAAACCAGGCCAGGGCTGTTCCACTCCTGAGAGAGGGCTGACCCCCCCCCCCCCCCCCCCCCCCCCCCCCCCCCCCCCCCCCCGCCCCGCCGCTCCCCCGCCGTACCTCCTCCATCTCGAGGGCCATGTTTTGGAGCTGCTCCTCGTCCTCCAGGAGCTCGTTGAGTTGGTGGAGGCTGAGGCCCTCGAGGCGCCGTGCGTCCACTGCCATGGCGGGGGGAAACCGAGGCGAAGCAGCCCGGCGCGGAGAGACGACACACAGCGAGCTCCTCTCACTTCGCTTCCCCTCCGTCGACTGGCGCGCTCTTCGCGGCCCCTCCCGCCTCCCTGGGCGCTCCACCGGAAGTGCCGCGGCGGCTCTTCTCGGGGACCTCCTCTCCTCCCTCCCCTCCTTCGCTCCCTCGGCACCAGGTAGGGGAGGGAGCGAGGAGAAGAGCAGAAGGGGAGGGAGCGCCGACGCCACGCCTACTTCCCGCCCCGCCCTCAATAGCAGCCCCTACTGGAGGGATGGCGCGTGACTACCCAAAACAAGGCGAGAAATTGCATCGAAGGGGCAAAGAGAGCAGCGTGCGCATGCGTCGTAGCGTTGGGAAAAAGCGCGGGAAGCGAAAAAAGCTACCCTTTTGTCCTCTGGCCCCTTCCACACAGCTGAATAAAATCCCACATTATCTGCTTTGAACTGGAATATATTTATTTATTTGTGTATTTATTTACAGTATTTATGTTGTTGTTCATTCGTTCAGTCGTCTCCAACTCTTCGTGACATCATGGACCAGCCCACGCCAGAGCTCCCTGTCGGCCGTCACCACCCCCAGCCCCTTCAAGGTCAGTCCAGTCACTTCAAGGATGCCATCCATCCATCTTGCCCTTGGTCGGCCCCTCTTCCTTTTACCTTCCACTTTCCCCAGCATAATTGTCTTCTCTAGGCTTTGCTGTCTCCTCATGATGTGGCCAAAGTACTTCAACTTTGTCTCTAGTATCCTTCCCTCCAATGAGCAGTCGGGCTTTATTTCCTGGAGGATGGACTGGTTGGATCTTCTCGCAGTCCAAGACACTCTCAGAACTTTCCTCCAACACCACAGTTCAAAAGCATCGATCTTCCTTCGCTCAGCCTTCCCTAAGGTCCAGCTCTCACATCCGTAGGTTACTACAGGGAATACCATGGCTTTGACTAGGCGGATCTTTGTTGCCAGTCTGATGTCTCTACTCTTTATTATTTTATCGAGACTGGACATTGCTCTCCTCCCAAGAAGTAAGCGTCTTCTGATTTCCTGGCCACAGTCTGCATCTGCAGTAATCTTTGCACCTAGAAATACAAAGTCTGTCACAGCCTCCATGTTTTCTCCCTCTATTTCCCAGTTGTCAATCACTCTTGTTGCCATAATCTTGGTTTTTTTGATGTTTAGCTGCAACCCAGCTTTTGCGCTTTCTTCTTTCACCTTGATTAGAAGGCTCCTCAGCTCCTCCTCGCTTTCGGCCATCAGAGTGGTGTCATCTGCATATCTGAGGTTGTTAATGTTTCTTCCAGCAATTTTCACCCCAGCTTTGTATTCATCCAGCCCCGCACATCGCATGATGTGTTCTGCATACAAGTTAAAAAGGTTGGGTGAGAGTATGCAGCCTTGCCGTACGCCTTTCCCAATCTTGAACCAGTCTGTGGTTCCGTGGTCAGTTCTTACTGTTGCTACTTGGTCCTTGTACAGATTCCTCAGGAGAGAGACAAGGTGGCTTGGGATGCCCATCCCACCAAGAACTTGCCACAATTTATTATGATCCACATAGTCAAAGGCTTTAGAATAGTCAATAAAACAGAAATAGATGTTTTTCTGAAACTCCTTGCCTTTCTCCATTATCCAGTGGATATTGGCAATTTGGTCTCTTGTTCCTCTGCCTTTTCTAAACCCAGCTTGTACATTTGGCAACTCTCGCTCCATGTATTGCTGGAGTCTTCCTTGCAGGATCTTGAGCATTACCTTACTGGCATGAGAAATAAGGGCCACTGTACAGAAGTTTGAGCAGTCTTTCGCATTTCCCTTTTTTGGTATGGGGATATAAGTTGATTTTTTCCAGTCTGATGGCCATTCTTGTGTTTTCCATATTTGCTGGCATATGGCATGCATCACCTTGACAGCATCATCTTTTAAGATTTTAAACAGTTCAGCTGGGATCCCATCGTCTCCTGCTGCCTTGTTGTTAGCAATGCTTCTTAAGGCCCATTCAACCTCACTCCTCAGGATGTCTGGTTCTAATTCATTCACCACACAGTCAAAGCTATCCTCAATATTATTATCCTTCCTATACAGATCTTCTGTATAGTCTCGCCACCTTCTCTTGATCTCTTCAGCTTCTGTTAGGTCCCTGCCATCTTTGTTTCTTATCATACCAATTTTTGCCTGAAATTTACCTCCAATGTTTCTAATTTTCTGGAAGAGGTCTCTTGTCCTTCCTATTCTGTTGTCTTCTTCCACTTCCATGCATTGCTTGTTTAAAAATAGTTCCTTATCTCTTCCGGCTAACCTCTGGATTTGTGCATTACCTGGGCATATCTCCCCTTATCACTGTTTCCTTTTGCTTTCCTCCTTTCTTGGGCTACTTCCAGTGTCTCAGCAGACAACCATTTTGCCTTCTTGGTTTTCTTTTTCTTTGGGACGTACTTTGTTGCCGCCTCCTGAACAATGTCGCGGACTTCTGTCCATCGTTCTTCTGGGACTCTGTTTACTAAATCTAGTCCTTCAAATCTGTTCTTCACTTCCACTGTATATTCGCTAGGAATGTTAGTGAGATCATATCTAACTGGTCTGTGTATTTTCCCTGATCTCTTTAGTTTTATTCTAAATTGAGCAATAAGAAGTTCGTGATCTGAGCTACAGTCAGCCCCAGGTCTTGTTTTCACCGACTGGATGGATGTCCACCACCTTTGGCTGCAAAGGATGTAGTCAATCTGATTTCGGTGCTGACCATCTGGTGAAGTCCATGTATAAAGCCGTCTTTTAGGTTGTTGGAAGAGAGTGTTTGTTATACACAGCGAGTTTTCCTGGCAAAATTCTATCAGCCTGCGTCCCGCTTCATTTTGTTCTCCCAGACCATGCTTGCCTGTGATCCCTGTTGTCATTTGACTTCCCACCTTGGCATTCCAGTCTCCTGTAATGAAAATAATGTCTCTTTTTGGTGTATTATCCAGTAGGTCCTGCAGATCCTCATAGAACTGATCTACTTCTGCTTCTTCAGCAGCTGTGGTTGGGGCGTATATTTGGATCACTGTGATGTTACAGTATATATATTATATTGAACTGTGGTGTTGGAGGAAAGTGCTGAGAGTGCCTTGGACAGCGAGAAGATCCAACCAGTCCATACTTCAGGAAATAAAGCCGACTGCTCATTGGAGGGAAGGATATTAGAGGCAAAGATGAAGTACTTTGGCCACATCATGAGAAGAAAGGAAAGCTTAGAGAAGACAATTATGCTGGGCAAAAAGGAAGGAAAAAGGAAGAGTGGCCGACCAAGGGCAAGAAGCATGGATGGCATCCTTGAAGTGACTGGAGTGACCTTGAAGGAGCTGGGGGTGGTGACAGCCGATGGGGAGCTCTGTCATGGACTGGTCCATGAAGTCAAGAAGAGTCAGAAACGACAGAACGAATGAACAACAACAACATTTGTATTCCGCCCTTCTCACCCCGCAGGGGACTCAGGGTGGATTACAATGCCCATATACATGGCAACTGGCAAGCATTCAATGCCATATATAGACAGGCATAGAGGCAATTTAACATTCCAGCTTTCCGGCTCCATGAGGCTATGCTCGATTCCGGCCACGTTGTTGTTTGCTGCTGCAGCACCGTCCACTTGTGACACCGAGTCCTTGATGGAGTACTTCCTCATTCTTACGCACCCGCTGGAAGATTTTATGGTATTTTAAATTAATTAAATTAGCCTCCCTGCATAAAGCGGTAACTAAATTTCCTACTTGACAGAATAATAATAATAATAATAAACTTTATTTGTACCCCGCTACCATCTCCCCAAGGGACTTGGTGCGGCTTACATGAGGCCGAGCCCACAATACAACAATAAAAAATAGCAACTGTCCTCTGGGCTGCATAGGTCAACAGCAAGCTCACTCCGACCCGGGTTGGCTTCAAACTCATGACCTCTCAGTCGGTGGTGATTTAATGCAGCTGGCTACTAACTAGCTGCGCCACAGCTCTGGCAGTGTGGACTAAGGCTTCTTCCACACAATTGAATAAAATCCCACATTATCTGCTTTGAACTGGAATACATGGCATTGTGGACTCGGATAATCCAGTTCAAAGCAGATCTTGTGGATTATCTCCTTTGATATTCTGGGTTATGGGGCTGTTTTGGGCCTTCTTAGTGCCCAAAACACACAAAGCTCATGCAGTACTGCTGTTGTTTTCTACTTTCGTGCCTAAATGATGATGATGATAACAACAATAACAATAAGGATATACAATACTGTGCTGCCCCAATGATAGCATGCACATGTGTCAAACTCAAGCCCTTGGAAGGTATAGGCATATGGACAACAAAAGTAGTAAACGTTTTTCTAAGCCTGCATTGGAATACACCAGCATGGGTTGTGCTTACATTTCGTTGTCATTTTTAGAACACGGACGAGGATGGTGGGAGATGTGCTTCAAGTTATTCAATGATATGATAAGGAGTTGTTGGGTTTATCCAGCCTTACAATGACAAAACGGCCCTTTGAAGGCAACAGTAAGGCTGACTCGAAATGCATGGCTTTTATTGAGAAATACAGAACGAAAAATAACTGGAAAACTGTTTTTCATAAATATACAAATAAACAGGTATATCTAAGGGCCCCTCCACACAGCCCTAAATCCCAGCATATTGAGGCAGGAAATCCCACATTTTCTGAGTGTGGACTCAGGTAACCAAGTTCAAAGCAGATATTGTGAGATTTTCTGCCTTGATGTTCTGTGATATAGGGCTGTGTGGAAGGGCCCTGGGTTATCTGGAAGCCCTTCCAGACAGGCCATATATCTCAGAAAACTTGGGATGAGATCCTGGGATATAGGGTCTGTCTGGAAGGACCCTTAGACGCCTTCCATATAGCTGAATAAAATCCCACATTATCTGCTTTGAACAGGAAAATATGGACTCAGGTGGACTCAGGTAACCCAGTTCAAAGCAGATATTGTGCGTCATTCTGCCTTGATATTCTGGGCTATATGGCTGCGTGGACAGGGCCCTTTGTTGCCGATTAACTGAAAACCTACTGCATTAAGAACCAGACAAGAAAGGATAATTTAGTATCAGTCAGGAGACTGAGGGAAAGTGAAGGGGATAACACACATTTTAAGACTGTGATTTGTTTCTGTATTGTAATATTGATATCGAGCAAGAATTTAGGAGTCTTTGCCAGGAGGCAGAGACCAGTCAGACCCATCAAAGAGAGTCTGTTCGCC